TCGAATATGATTAAAAGATGAAAAACCAGAAACAATAAAGAAAATGGGATGGAAGATGAAGTAGAAGATGAAACAAAAAGTAAAAACGAAGAACAAAGAGAAAAGGAAACAAATCAGATCAAGGAGAACTCGAATTGATAAACTTCATTGCATTATTTGTACAAGAAACTTCATGAACAAACTTGAAAGTTACATCACCACTGAAAACTAAAGACCTTAAGAGTTGAACTAGAGAGAACCCATGAGTGAATTGTGATTCAAACTACACTTATGTTTCTCAACCTTCGAAGGTCTATTTATACAATACCAAATACATATGAAATTATCTAGGCCCATTCGATGCTCCATAATTACAAAATAGAAATCAAAATAACATTCTACAAAATTGAATTTCGATGAATCCGCTCAGCGGATTTATAGTTAAATTAGTTTCATGAGATTCTGACACATTCTGCTCAGCGGATCGAAAAGTGCTGAGTAGATACAAACGTGCTCAATGGGTGACAAAGTGTTTAGCGGATTCTGATTTTCAAATGAAGAGTTCTCTAGATCGATTTCACTCAATGGATCGAAAAACACTAAGTGGTTGGCACAAGGTTGATTCCGCTAAGTGAATTCATAAGCACTCAACGAATTTAACTATTTCAGACTTTTATAATTTCTTTAATTTATCATGCCTACAAAAGAAAATAAAGAATTAGTTTAAAATGTACAATTTAAATAATAAATTATATTAAAATATTTTTATTTCTTTTTTACAAAACTGTATTAATTATTGATAATTAATTAAGAAAACATATTAAATATATATAAATTATATTAATAAATTATTGATAAAATGTGCTCATCAACTAACTCCACACTTAAACTTTTATATTTTCCAAGCAAAATAAAGTTCACAAAATAAAAATGAAAATTAAGATGAAATACATTTTATCAATAAATCAAGTTAAATTCAATAATTCAATTTATAAAGACATCACGGACATAATGTTAAATACAAGTACTCTATTAGTCTATTTTAAATTTATAACAAGTGAACAAGTGGTCATCACAAAATAATTAAGATTAAAAATCCTTACATGGATAAATTTAATTGCACTCAATCACTCAAGTGTTTAAGGAAAGTGTTTCTCTCAATTCACATCTCAAATAATAAGATTAACCATAGGCTTGACAAAGTTCTAATTAAATAAACAAGAAACATATGCAAATTAAAGATCAAAAGGTCTTTCTAATGATTGTAAAGTGTTAGAATCGCGCAGCGGAATATTCGCGTTAGGGAAAAAAACCAAGAGGGGAGGTGAATTGGTTTCTTATAAAAACTTATCCCTTTTAAAAATTTTCGCAATATTTAACCGATTAAATAACAACTGAAAAGTAAAGAGATAAGGGAAAGAAGATTACACAGTTGATTTATACTAGTTCGGATCAAAAGATCTTACATCTAGTTGTTAATCATTCTAAAAGAGGATTAACTTAGTCACTAAAATATTGTTTCAAACAAATAACATATTACACAAGATAAGGATAACAAAACACCTCTCTTGAGTCACACAAGAGATGAAAACCTCCTTTGAAGCCACAAAGGATGAAGACAACTTTTCCTAGAGACGACACAACACACAATCCACCAAGAAACCCACTTAGTGATTCTTATCGTTTCTAGCCACACTAGGTTACAAAAGCCCCTTTTTCTTTCCTACTCAAAGTTCTCTAGCAATCACAACTCTTAACTTTAGTATGAAAATGGTTGTCCTTTATAAAGAGCCAGAGAGTTCCTTAATAGAGATTTTAGGGTTTAGAAATTAGGATTTTCGAAAATAGGTCTGAAATTTGAAATTCAAAATCATAACTGATACAAATAATCGATTATCATAAGTGATAATCAATTATTCCAGAGTCATTTTCGCAGAATACACATTTTAGCCAGGATAATCGATTATCAACAATGATAATCGATTATTCCAGAGACTTTCAGACACCCAGAAGAGCTAAGATAAACGATTATCAATAATCGATTACTGATAATCGATTATCCATAGGTGATAATCGATTATCATAGATAAAAATGAACTTTCAATGGACATACTATGTGCTGGCTATCTTGGACTCTATTTTTACATACTCAAAATGATAAAATAGAGTTATTACAAGTAGATACAACTATATATGAGTCTTCTAATCTTGAAGTTCTTTGTCTCTAAAGCATCATCAAAATCTTCAAGCATCATCAAAATCTTCAGGCATCATACCCTTATATTTTCAACATGAAGAGGTTAAGGTCAAGGTATGGTATAAATAAATGGAAAACATAGCTAATTATGAACTTAAGAATTAAAGAGAAGAATTGGGGAATGAAGTAAGCAGATATATTATTCTCAAATTTTTCATTTTGCCAATATAATTCCAAAATTTCTCAAAAATGAAAAGTTCAGGAGGTAAATATGGATTTCCACTTTCGTGGGCTTGTAACGTGGCTTAATTAAACAAAGAAATGAGAATATAGAGCTCAAAGTGACTCACAAAGGTTAATAATTATAAAATAGACTTTATTTGACTCAAGGTTAATTAACAAAGAAATTGCCTAAATAATCTCAATAATTACATTTGATCAAGTTCAAAATAAAGAGAAATAACTCAAGTTCTAGAATCTTAAATTCAAGAGTGAACACTCAATCAAGAATAATTACAGTCAAAACTCACAGATATTATTTTTATCTAATTAAGTTATAATTTAGACTTGATCAAAAGTTATACAAGAGAAATTAAAATATCATACAAGATATTAAAACAAAAATGATGTTAATCTAAATAACTAACTTACCAATTAAAACTTAAATTATCAACAAAATGCATAAATTTTTTTAGAAATAACACATAGGAGTCATCCTATCACTCCACACGTAAATTTTGTATTTTCTTCAATGTAAAAATAAAATAAATTTAACGAGTAGAAGGTAATAAATGAATAATGTTCAAAGAATGCGAAACGACAAGAAGTTCATGAAAATATTTTAATCAATGCCTATTAACTTTAAAAGTTTTACTTGTTGATTATGTCATAATTTCACCTGCTCCACATGTAAAAACCGTAGTAATTATATAAGGTCCACTCCATTTGAATCTTAATTTACAAACAATTAATTTTAATCTAGAACTAAATAATAAAACATTCTGACCAACTAAAAATTCTTTTCTTAAAATATTTTTATCATGAAAATGTTTTGTTTTTTTCTTTAAATATTTAAGAATTCTCAAAAGCTTCTAATCTAATTTCTTCTCATTTTTTCATATCAAGGTCTATAATTTAAATTAATACTATAAAGTTGCTCATCGGGAAAAGAATCATATATAACATAATCATCTAAATTATTCTCAATTCTACTTAAATGATCTGCAACAAGATTTTGGGAATCACTTCTATCTTTAATAATTGAATCAAATTCTTGAATTAAAAGCATCCATCTAATTAGTCTAGGCTTAGAATCATTCTTCTTCAACAAATACTTAATTGCAGCATGATGAGTATAAACAATAACCTTGGAACCTAACAAATAAGATTTAAATTTATTCAAAACAAATACAATAGCTAAAAGTTATATTTCAGTAATAGTATAATTTATTTGAACAGAATCTAAAGTTTTTGAAGCATAATAAATCACATATGGAGCTTTATCAATTCTTTGTCCTAAAACTACCCCTAAAGCATAATTAGATGCATCACACATAATTTCAAAAGGAAGATCCCAATTAGGAGGTTTAATTAAAGGTGTATTGGTAAATGATTTTTTCAAATAATCAAATGAAATTTTATACTTATCATCAAAATTAAATAAAACATCTTTATGCAATAATAAAGTTAAGGGAAGAGCAATTTTACTAAAATCTTTAATAAATCTTCTATAAAAACCTGCATAGCCAAGAAAAGATCTCACCTCCTTAATGGAAGATGGATAAGATAAGTTAGAAATAACATTTAATTTAGCAGGATCAACTTGAATTCCATTTCTAAATATAATTTGACCTAATACAATACCTTGTTCTACCATAAAATGACATTTTTCATAATTCAAAACTAAATTATTTTAAACACATTTATTCAATACCTTATTTAAATTATCAAGACAATAATCAAAATAATTTCTATAAACAGAAAAATTATCCATAAACACTTCAATACATTTCTCCAATAAATAAATAAAAAATACTAAACATGCATCTTTGAAAAGTACTAGGAGCATTACATAATCCAAAACGAATTCTTCTATAGGCAAAAATATCAAAAAGACAAGTAAAAGTAGTCTTAAATTGATCTTCAGATGCAATACATATTTGAAAATAACCGGAAAAACCATCATGAAAATAATAATGAGATTTACATGCCTAATCTATCAAGCATTTGGTCAATAAAAGGAAGAGGAAAATGATATTTTCTAGTGGCTAAATCAAGTCTCCGATAATCAATACACACTCTCCAACTATTTTGCACTCTTTGTGAAATTAAATCACCTTTTTCAATTTTTATAACAGTTAAACCAGATTTTGTAGGAACAACATGTACAAGACTAATCCATTCTCTATCACAAATAGGATAAATTATACCTGCTTGCAATAATTTAGTCACCTTTTTTTTTTTATTACATCCAAAATTTGTGGATTCACCCTCCTTTGAGGTTGTCTAATAGGCTTAACATTATCATCCAATAAAATTCATGCATACATAAAATAGGACTAATTCCATAAATATCATTAAGAGTCCAACCATTTTCCTTTTTATTTTTCTTAATTAGTAAAATTAATTTATTTCTTGCTCAATATTTAACAAATTAGAAATAATAATATTTTAAATTAGAAGGAAAATGGCTTTAAATTAGAAACAGAAGAATAAATAATTTTAGGCTCTATATTTTCTAAAAAAATCAAAAACCTTTTCTAGATTTTATTTTTTTTCTTTCATTTTTTTCTTCTCTCGAGATTTCTTCTCTAGGAAAATCCACTCGAGCGGATTCATTTCCCGCTCGGTGGTTTCATCAAAATAAGTCAATCCATTGAGTGGATTCAGCTCTTGCTGAGCGATTTCATAAAAAATTGCCACTAGAGTTAAACTGCTGAGCAGATTTAGCTTTGGCTCAACACTTTGCATTCTACTACGCGAGTCTAGTTTCTGCTTAGCACTTGAAGCACAACAAAATTGATTTTTAAAATTTTCTTCATCAAACACAGTTCCAACATCATAATTAAGAAGTTTTGGGATATATTCAACAATAATTCATCAATAACATCAATCCTAAACACAAAATGATCTTCACATGGATATTTTAAGGCATCTAGGATATTAAATTTCATTAATGTGTTACCGAACTCCATAGTTAATGTTCTAGCATAAACATCAATCTTGGTGTGTGCAATTTTCAAGAATGGTCTTCCCAGAATAAGAGGAAGCAAAATCAAGTTCAAAGTCATTGGAAAACTTACCTCCCATGTCCAAGATATAGAGATAAGTAGGAAAGACAAGGTTGTTCACCTTCACCAAGATATCCTCAAGTAGACCAATTGGTTGAACTATGCTTCTGTTTGCCAACTGAATTACCACACCAGTAGGTTGCATAGATCCAATGCACAGTGAAGAATACATGGCTAAAGGAATAACATTAATGTTAGTAATACAGGCTAAGATCAAGAGGGGGTGAATTGATATAATCAAACATTTTCACAACTTTTATTTATAGATTACCAATTTCAAAGTTTTAATGAAATCAATCTTATTTTGAATCAAAGAAAAGCAATCATGAATAAAAGAATGTAATGAAAGAAGAACAAGAACAACAAAATTTAAAATGGTTCACCCAATCCACTAGGCTACATCCAGTTCTTAACTAATTCCAGTTGAGTTCCACTAATCAAAATTTCAATTGATTACAACACAAGCAGTAGAATAACAATCTACACCAAGAACTACAACCAAGTTCTTGAACCTATAATAACAACCACAATTCCAGACACCAAAATTACAAAGAATAGGTTGAAAGATTAAGATGCTTGAAGAAACAACAACAATAAAATGAATATGCATAAACAACAATCCAATCACAAAATGAATTTCTTCAAGAATATGAACAAAAAGCCTCAAGAATGATTTCAAAAGAATTGTAAAGCATAAAACATGTTTCTCTCTTGAAACAAATCTCAAAAGATTGCTTGAATGATTTCACAAAAGTATCTATTGAAGCGCAAGTGGTAATATATTTATATAGAGATATTTTTAAGTAATCGATAGTATTAATCGATTAATTCATGACTTAATCGATTAAAATAATTAAGTTTAAATGAATTTAAATGATGAAAAAGCTTTTTAATCGATTAAAAACATTCTGTCAAATTTTTTTGAGACGTTTTAATTGATAAAAACACGGTTTAATCGATTAAAAGAATTCTAAATTTTTTTCCATAGACGTTTTTACAATTGATTAACAGGATTCTAGATATTTTCTGGAGACATTTTAACTGATAAAAACGTGGTTTAATCGATTAAAGAAATTCTGGATTTTTTCCAGAGACGTTTTAACTGGTAAAAACGAGGTTTAATCGAATTAAACTGTGATTAAAAAAGTTATTTATTTGTTTAAGTGAATTTAATTGATTAATTAAAAAATATATCAATTAAAATTGTGACTCAAAAAGTTCTTTAGCTGTTTAAGTGAATTTAATCGATTAATTAAAAAATATATCTATTAAAAACCTTACTAAGAAACATATTAACCTATTAAAAAAAATTAAAATGATTAAAAATTCTTGAGACACTTATACTTGAAAAGGAAGAAACTCATGATTGAGGAAAGGATAAATGATTATACCTATATAATGCAGACACACTAATGAACTACAACAACACAACATCTTCTTTTGATTTCATCAAATCTTCTAGCAAGTCTCCTTAGGTCTTTTCAAGATTCTTTCCATAAGCTTCATCAATCTCCCCCTAGTTGATGAAGACAAAAAAAAAATCTTGAATCCCGCAAAACCACTTTGATGTGTGTATCTAATGTTGTTAGTACAAGTGTGCTATCCCTTTCTGTCTTTTCTCCCCCTTTTGACTTCATTACAATAGGAGAAAATAATCATGAACCAAGCCAAAAGAAAAAAATATCATACAAACATATTAATAGTCAAGATTTCTTGTCATAAGCCAGTTAGCAGTATAGATCAATAGAGAATATAAAAACAACAAAAACCAAAAAACAAACAGTGAGCGCAACATATAGGAAACAAAACCCCAAGTAAGAAGCAACAAATTATTAATCCTCCCATGAACCCTGGTTGAACTGTAGGTCATCCAATATGCTATAGATGTGTGTAATTTGATTGTTGGGGTTGGAGAATTGATTGTTGGACTCATGATAATGTTGATACGTCATCTGCATGTGCTTCCTCTGGTTTTCTTGTAAGGAAGTCATTTGAGACAACATGGTTCTTTCAAACTGTGATAATGGAGTCCCCTAATTTGGTTGCTCGTAATAAGGTATCAACTTCATGTTCTGAAATTCTTCAACTATATTATTTACTTCAGCTGCTACTGGTTCTGCTTGTGCTGCAGCAAGCGATGAGCCAATGCCAACATTTTCTTGTGGTGCATTCTCTTCTTCATCATCATCACTCATTCCAGCTTCAAATTTTGAGATCCAGTTCCCATCAACCTGGATGAATCCATCTTGCATAGAGTAGAATCATCAATTTATTAGAAATTTGGGTGCTTTCACATATTCTCCTATCAGATCAACTTCCAAATCCTTAAAACATTTGATAATGAGCATAGCATAAGGTAGACAAAAATCACTTAGTCTCTTTTTGCCTTGATCATGTGATCTTTGATCACATCAATCTAGTTAACTTTGATGTTATTCTGGATGCAGTACATTAAGGTCAAATCTCCTTCATTCAAGAGAGCATGATTGCTCCCCCTGGGTGTTAACACTCAAGCAATGATGAATGCTAGCAGCTTCTGCTCTACTTGCATTTTCCCAGTGTTTAGAACTCTTGTAGAATCATCCCTATTTTTGAGACAAAACCTGAAGTATTCGATTTTGCTGCATTTTGGCAGCTCCAAGACATTTCCTTTTGATACCTTAACACCTTTATCTTTAAGGTCAACCACTTGTTCCCACATAGTTGGAGTGATCACCATGTTTACCCCTTTTACTTGTGATCGTATGGTTGAGCTATCAGCGGTCAAGTTTGAGTAGAATACTCTGACTAGATCTGGTTGAATATTTCCCAGATATTCTACGAAGTTCTTCAGCTTTTGGTTCTTAAGTTGACGTTTGAGAGGGGTGAATCCTTCACTGTCAAGCCAGGCAAATTGAATAAATTTCGGAATGACCAATTGTTTTTGGCTAAACTCAGAAATGAACGTGTTCATTCTATCCAAGTCACCATTGAAACCAGGCCTCAAGATTTGCTACAGGTGCTTGAGAAGAAGATTCCACGTGGCTTTTCTTTCTGTGATACAAACCAACCAGTGGACCCAAACCCAATAAGGAAGGATGACCCAATAGTAAGGAAACGAGCAAGAAAGAAGCCAGCGTGGATGACTGATTATGTCTGCGGACAAAATTAGAAGATCCTGAAATGCTCAAATTAATTCCTGAAATTTCTGCTGCAAATTATTAGTTTAATTCCTGTTTTATTTCCCTAATTTTTGCTTGATTGTTAGCACCCAATTCCTTTTAATAGCTATGATGTAATCAAAACAAAACAGAATAAAAGTTTTCAAGATCCTTTTTCCCCCAAATTCTATTATTCTCTTTTCCTTAATTTTTTGAGGAGTGGACACTCACTCGAAGAGTGTTAAAACCTTTGAGCATTCTGCAGCAGAGTGTATCATTGGTGCTTTCATCATGGACACAACTGAGCTTATGAGCGCCCTTCAATCCAATATCGATGCACAGATGGTAAAGTTTCGCGAATTACTCGAGTTCCATACCGAGTCAGTTCATTCCATACTCCACCAACACCTGGTAGAAGTTGATTCGAAGGTCGCAAACTTACACGTCGAAGGCAAAAAACAACCACAGAATGCATTTGCCGGGCAGACATCACGTGCGCTGAAATTAAACGTACCACGTTTTGATGGTTCCAATCTCTTGGATTGGATTTTCCAGATTGAAGCTTTCTTCAACTTCCACGAAACTCCGGAAGAGTCCCGACTTCAGATCGTAGCCTTTCATCTTGATGGACGCGCTGCTGGCTGGTTCCAATGGGCAACATGTAACAATTTGTTACCATCATGGCCAATTTTTCTCACCGCTGTTCGCCACCGCTTCGGTCCAACTCAGTACGAAGACATTGAAGGTGAACTCTCCAAATTAACTCAAACTGGCTCTGTAGCTGATTTTCAAGCCCAGTTTGAAGAATTGATGAACAAGGTCAACGGTATCTCTGAATCACTACTGATCAGTTTTTTCATTACGGGACTGAAAAAGCATTTGAGACGGGAATTGCAATTTCATCGACCTGCTACGTTAATGGAAACCTTCGCCATGGCCAGAGCATATGAGGCCCGTTTTGATGACACACCAACCATAGGCAAATTGTGGTCTCGCGGCCCACAACACTCCACAGGCTCACATACCCAACCTAACCACAATCAAACAAACCGATCCAATTCAAATCCAAATAACCCATCAAACAATACTATAACATCGTTACCACCACTCTTACCCACACCACACTCAAACCCTGCCGTGCAGAATATGCCCTCTGCCGAAGATCACTTCCAACATTTAGCATTGGTTTTCACTTCCTTAAAAACTCATTGTTTTTTTGTGAAACTGTCCAAATGTCTATTCTCTCAAGAGTCCATTGACTACTTAGGCCATATAGTTTCTTCTCAGGGTGTACAGGCGGATCCGGCCAATCTTGAAGCCATGGAAAAATGGCCCATACCAGTAACGGTCAAACAACTTAGGGGGTTCTTAGGCCTTACCGGATACTATAGAAAATTCATTGCCCATTATGCAAGTATAGCTTCTCCTTTAACTGATCTCCTGAAGCATGATGCATTCTCTTGGAATGAAAATGCTCAACGGGCCTTCCTTGCCCTCAAGCAAGCTATGCTTTCTGCGTCGGTCCTTAGTTTACTTGACTTTTCTAAAGAATTTGTAATAG